GAGAGGCTTCACCAGAGACAGTGGGGAGCAGAACAGGTAGATTGAGGAAGTACATTCCTGAGGAGAGCAGCGGGCGGGGAAGGAGAGGTCTGCCACGCCATATGGTCACCTTCGGGGCAGGTGGGAATCGAACTCATGCAGAAGTGGCTTTAGCTTCTCAGTGCTGTGCTTTAACCCGCTGCGCCACCAGGGAGGGCCTAGAGTTCATCCTTTTAATAAAGGATGGTCAGTGGAATATAGGTACAACACTGCTTTGTTATTTGTTGATGGCCCAGATCAAGAATCTTACATATAAATAAATTAGATGAGTGGAGAGCTATATTAATTATATTTGGGGAATTTTCTAATTTATTGGTAAGTTGCCTAAAATAAGGGTAGGTAAATTGAAAAAAGTAAGCCACCCACACCCACTGATCATGTTAGTACCTGTGGTATCTCATGAAGGACACAGAGCCAGGTGGGACTTAAGCTTATGTGATAAGCTGCCTTCTTAACTCTCTTGAAAGTGCTTATGGTTTTCTAACTTTTCATTTTGATTCTATGAGTTTGTGCACATGCAACATTTGGGACAAAATTTGTGTTACTTTGTCACCCACAGGGAGTGGAATCTACACACCAGAAGCAGTCAAGGTGTACCATTATGACATGGAAACAGAGAGTGGCCAACTCTTGCTGTCAGAATTAAAGTCCCGGCCTCGGGGAGAGCCCACCTACCCTGCAGCTATTGACTGGAGTGCTTATGCCAGAGGTGTCAAGCCATCCACAGCTGAGCAGTCAGATTTCCGGGGGATGATTTATTTTGATGAATTCATCTTCACAGAACTTAAGCGAAATGCAGGAAATTACACAGTTTGCCAAAAAGATCTGTGTTGTCATCTAACTTACAAGATGTCTGAGAAGAGAACAGATGAGGTGTATGCACTGGGTGTGTTTGATGGACTGCACACTGTAGAAGGCCAATATTATTTACAGGTACACACGCTTAGATTACTTTGTCTTCTAGATCTTTGTTACAGTTCTTTAAATATTTTGTTAGATTCAACTAATTGGTCTCTTGTTCCACTCATCACTGAATTCTTCCCAGAAAACTTTTATTTATTAAGTCTTAGCCAGAACAGAGTTACTTCTCTTAGCTTCAAGCTAAATGAGTCAATCAATTTGGTTTTAGCAGGTCAAGGTCAGTTTTACACAGCTGCATTTTCTGTGCATCCTTAGTGTGTGAAAAACCAACTTTACATCAGGATGCAGTGCAATGCAAATGAGAGGCTGAGATGAAGAAATGTTTCATTGAAACGAACATCTTAGGAGATAATTCATATGAGAATTAGAAATGATGTGGGGGCCCTCCCTGGTGGCACAACAGGTTAGGACACAGCACTGCAAGCTAGTTGCAGCCACATCTGTGTGAGTTTGATCCCCCGCCTCGGAGGTGACCCACGTGGGGCAGCAGACCTCTCCTGTCTTGCCCTCTGCTCCCCTCATCAGTGTACCTTGTTGATCTGCCTGTTCTGCTCCCCACTCTCTCTCTGGTGAATCCTCTCACTGCCCCTGTACCTCTGGCCTGTACCCCAGTTCTGTACACATAAATAAATAAATCTTTTTTTAAAAATTAAAAAAAAAAAGAAATGATGTGGTATGATAGTGTAATATGCAAGGCATTCTGATTTTTAATAACCTGTATATTCTGTGTTGTCTCACTGGAAAAAAAGGAGCTAGTCCTGAACACTTAGAATGATTTCAGGAGGCCCCCACGGGTCATGCCCAACAACTGAAAATTGCAAAAGAGGCAAACAATGAATTTTCAGCTAGTCTTTGAAATCTCATCATTTAGCTGAAAAAATATTTCCCAGACTCCTGACCACTTTTTCTTTTCTTCCCCCAAATAGATCTGCACATTATTGAAGTGTCAAACCACTGACCTGAGAACTTGTGGGGAGCCGGTGGGATCAGCTTTCACCAAATTTGAAGAATTCTCCCTCAGTGGCACATTTGGAACCAGTTATGTTTTCCCACAGATGGTTCTCAGTGGCAGTCAGCTCGCCCCTGAGGGGCATTACGAGGTAGGCGTGTTTCTGGGTGGCATGTTTCTCTGAACAGATGGGGTAGACTGGCAGACTGACAATGCTTGAAGCAGTTTGGCAATATTGCAGTACTGTGGCTCATGTTCATATGTGTGCTTACCATATGATATGTGGAAGCTAGGATCTAGAAGGCAAGTTGTGGTTCTAGATTGTCTTTAGACTGATGGAAGTTTCCCTTTTGACATAATCACATTTGAGATCCAAGGCAGCAGTGAAATTATGAAGAAATTAAAATAATATTGACTATGGATCATGGCAACTAATGTTTCCTTTGTTTGCACAGTATAGAAGGTCCAAATTAAATAATATATCTGCAATTTATGTTGTGGGTGCATTATTTTGAGAAGTTGTTCTAATCAGAGTGATTCTATGTAGTTAGGCAGTGCTTGAGTTCAATCTTTTTTTCTTCTTTACATTGTTTGGTATGACCTACAGTATTTTATTTGCCCCACATTCCCCCAAAGTTCCTCTGCTAGCTGACCTTGAGATCTGAAAAGTGGCTGTTTTTATGCTTGAAATATGGGTCTTTTCACAGCAAATCCTGAGAGCTTTTCATGCTGCTTTTTGACAATGATTTTATCAGAGAAGTTCTCTAGACTGGAAACCAAACCCTGAACTTAATCCTTTGATTTCCTTGGTCAGGTTTTAGGTGATGGACGTCTGAAGAGCCGCGGTGGAGTCCCTTTGCCTATCTTGGTGATGGCCCTGTATGGAAGAGTGTTCGAGAAGGACCCTCTGCGGTTAGGGCAGGGACCTGGGAAATCACCATGACGCTTTTCACCAATACTCTTCCTGTGTTAGCCTGGAAAAGAAAGGAAGGGGGGGGGGGAACTTAGTCTAGAAGAGATGTCATAAATTTGCTGAAATAGACTTACAGTTTAAAAAGTGATGGGTGTGTGTGAATTTTATATTTTCCATGTTTGATCTTGCACAGACTGGTTTCTAGGCTGCATCATCTTTCACGTAGGTACATCATGTTCCATACGTGAGTATATGTATAGATGAACAAGTGGAGGGGAGGACAAGAAAAATCCTTCTTATCTTTTTTTGTGGTAAATGTTATTTTCATCCTTTATAGATTCACAGGGCAACATTGAATATGCAGAAGATGTTTTGTTCCATAGTAAGATAGCAGATGTTGAAAAACAAAGACATCTTTTAAAATAATTAGGAATAATGTCTTAACTAGTTAAAAATGTTCTATTATCACCATAATCAGCCTTTTTGGATAATAATATAGAAATTAGATAATTCAAATGAAAATAAAAAGAAATAAATGGTCTCCTTCATACCCTGTTACCTTGTGAAATTATTCTATTCTGACATTCACCTAGTCCTGGTTAAGACCCTGGGTCCCCAGGGTTTGTGCAGACTGAGCTAGAGCAGGTGCTTCCACAAAAAGGGATACCCTGTCACCTTTCTCCCAGTTACCCTTGGTCCCTTGACCTACAGCCCTGATTCTGTTTTCTGGTTGATCACTCATTAAGTATGGGGAGACACCTACGTGAGCTCTGGACCTTCTGGGTGGTGTGGGAGTGATTGAAGGTATTTCCAATTTTGGGGATACCTGTCCCTCTTACAATGACTTTCCCAAGCTTTTTATTTTCATTCATTTTAATTCAGGCCACCTCTAGGAAGACAGGGACAGTCTAAGGAGGCAAAATGCCTGTGGTCTCTCTGTTCCCATGGCTCCTGGATTATCTCTCCAGGGGTTTGACACTTGGTTTGTAACTGTACCCTGTAATACTCCACGTAGGACAGGTGGGCAACTTTCTACCTTATGAACTGTTGTTAGCAGATTCTGGTGTCTTGAGTTTTCAAAAAAATAGAAATAGTAAAGATTCTAATGTTGTAGGTATGTTGCAGGGCATTCCAGTGTGATATGGGTGGCCTAACTATGGGTCCCCACCCATATGCTTAAAATGAACCTAAATGAGGGCCCTCCCTAGTGGCGCAGCGGGTTAAAGCACTAAGAAGCTTTAGCCACTTCAGCATAAGTTCCATTCCAAGACAGGGAGGTGACCCACATGGAGTGGCAGACCTCTCCTGACCTGCCTGCTCTGCTCCCCACTCTGTCTCTGGTAATTCCTTTCACCACTCCTGCAACTCTGGCCTGTACCTCAGTTCTATATGCACAAATAAATCTTTAAAAAATAAATGATCCAAAATGAGGCTCAACCACAGGGACATATAAAAAGGTTAGAAATGGGTTTATTTACAAAAAGAGGAAATGAAGAAATGAATAACTCAGGGAGAAAGAGAGAAAAATTTGTGAATGTGTCCTATCAGTTCCGCTGGGCTTGAACCCTGGCAACATGCTGAAAGCCAGCAAAAAACAAGCACTCCCAAGGCCCACATGTCTGGTTATACACCAACCCTGGCTGCTTAACTCCACTGGAGGATCCCAGCATCCTCCCTTTGGTGCTGTGACATTATGGGATTTGTAGTCCTTGGTGTCTTGGATATCTTTGGTCTGAGGTGGGGGTGGGGTCCATAAAATTTGTTTGTGGAGTTTATTCAGGACATCCTCTCTCCCCACCTCCCCACCCCACCCAGCAGTATTAAGTAAGAATTGATTAAAGCTTATATAATACAGCACAAAGGAATCACCACTAGAAACAGGGTCTGTGTGCTGCTCCCCAAAGAACAGCTGGACTCCATTTACATAGCTTTAACCCAGCATCATCAGGGGGCTGGAGCCCTGTCTTGCTCTTCTTTCCATGAGGTCATTCCACCTCTCCAACATGTGAACTCCTAGTGCCTGTGATCTCTTCATGGTGGATTTCATAACATTAGCTTAGCGGGTTGTTAGTGGTAAAAATTTACTTGGTCCTTCTTAAAGACAGGGATAGTCACTACCAGAGTGTGGTTGCCTCACGCCTTCCGTGGAGAAAATGTTGCTTTCTAATTTGTTATGACTTGTTCAGTCGCAGCCTCAGTAATGTCCTGTATTTATGGAGTTTCCTGAAACTCGCTGGATTCCTATCTCCTCCCTGACACAGTGTTGGTTCTTTCTAGGCTTCTTTCCTCTCTCTCCTAGGAAATTTCCCAGCTTTTTGACCACCTCATTCCCCGTGTATCTTAGTACGTTGATCTCTGCCCATGCTAGACAACAGCAGACTCACCAAGTGCTTTGGGTGTCTCAGCTCTTCCTCATGGTGACTGATGAGCCCAGTCCCTCTGAACGTTGTTTTTCCCTTTTAACATTATTGTTTTCTTTCTTGACCTCTTTTGTCTTTCTCTCCCTCTCCCATCTCATTTTAGTTACCATGACTTATGAGGAATTCTGGGAGACTCATTTCTCAGACCTGTGGTTTTCTGATCTAATTCTTTATTTGGAGTGAAACCATCTTCTGACTTCAATTAATATGTCTGAGTAGCTGAGTATGCAATTAATGGGTGAGCAGAATTTGTAATTTTTCAGAAGACTCACTTAATAATAATTAGGAGCTATATTAAAAAAGGTTTTATTCATTGCTGTGGAACTGTATCAGGAAGATAAATGTCATAGGAAATTTGATGCAAGTTCTAACCTTGTATCAGATCTAAATATTAAGATCTAAGCAAATATATTGAGCAATACCAGGGAAATAGAAATGTAACCTTTTATCATATACACCGTAATTCTGACTGTGATCCTATTTGTGATCACCAACACAATTCTGACACCAAATTTTGATATTTTGATGTTTCGGGGTTTCCCACACATAACAAGCAATTCTGTGGCATCACCAGGATGTCCTACAATTCAACTCAATTCTAAAGTGTTAGAGCCTATAGATAAAAGGCTCAGTTCCACAAAACCACGCCCTCCTTTGAATTCATATGCCAAAACCAGTGCTCCTGACTGACTAAGTCATCTGTTGACTAAGTCATCTGTTCCTGTAACCCTTCCCCTTGAGGGTGATTAATTTGCTAAACTGGCTCACAGAATTTAGAAAGACATCTTACTTACTAGAATTGTAACAGGCACAGGTTTCATGGACTCCGCCTCCACTCCAGATACTAGAACCACTAATCCCATCAATAACAAGGTGAAGCACACTGGGACGTGAGGGCGAAGCTGAGCAGCCAGGTTAGGATAAAACCGGACATGTGGGTTCTGGAGTGCTAGGCCTGGTGGTTTGCGGCAGGTCATTTTGGCTCTCGATAGGTTTTCAGCGTGCCAGTGGAGTCCAAGTCAACAGAACTGGTAGGACATTCTAGTTGACTTGTATTTTTCTCTCTCTCTTTCCGTGGGTTGTTCCTTTACCTTTGTCCTTGTAAATAAATCCATTATTGAACCTTTTTGAGTGTGTCCATAATACGATTGAATCGTAAGCGCACAGGTGAGGACCCACAGACAGACAACCCAACTCACATTGGGGTGCCCTGTAACAGATTGACAGGATTGCTGGATTATTATAAAAGGTTTTAATCCAGGAAAAGTCGGGTAGAGGAGATACAGTACAAGGTATGGGGAAAGGGCATTGAACTTCTGGGCCCTCTTAGCTCGCCACCATGTCCAAATCCATAAGTGTTCACCAACTCACAAGCTCTCGGAAGCCATTACAGATGAAAATGATGAAACCACGGGTGATAGCATTGGAACTAGACAAGGACAAGAGAAGGCTCCAGGTTTCCTGCCCTGCTCAAGGAAGGGTAGAGCTGAGGAGAGAGGAGGGGATTGGAGAAAGAAGCAGGATGGAGAGCAGAAGGAGACCTGGAGGAGGTACATGTAGCAGAGACCTGTGAAGAAGCTGCTCTTGCTTCTTTGGCCCTGGACCAGCTGAAACAGATGTGGGTGAGAGACCCGTGGGATGTTAACAATGGCTGTTTTTCATCTTGATTTCGATTTTATTCCTTCTATCCCAGACTTGATGGGGCTCGTCTGCCCCTTTCCTAATGGGTTCCCACCAGGAGGTACCTAAGACGTGTGGCAGGTTTTTGGGCATCAGCGGTCCTGCTTTGGGCCAGCTATTTGGCTGAACATTTATCTACCAAGGAGATGGATAACTTCGGGTGCTTGATTTAAAAACTTTATTCTTTTCCTGTCTGTATTGGACAATAATTGTATGAAATTTCCTTTCCATTAAAAGTCTTATGCACGAGAGTATGTTTTGACTTGAGGCAGTGTCTGGTAGAACCTAGTTAGTGCGGGCAGGTTTGGGGTTTTGGGGGTGCCCCTACCCTGCTCTATGACAGCCTCGGCACCTCTTGCCTTTCCCAACATAGTGCTGGGAACTGAATTTTAACCTGCCAGTCCCCATCTGGTTGTCCTAGCAACCAGCCTTACCCTTTTGTCTGTGAGAAAGGCACTCATTGACATAACAAAAGACATCTTTATGCTCTCAAAGGAAATTCAAAAGATTTTAGGTGCTCTCTGGGGGACAATGACTTAATTTCTTTTTCTTGTGATAAATCACAGTGTTACACATCCACTTACGTGTGTGGATGACTCTTCAGAATTCACCAGATATCCTCAAGTGCTTGTCTCATCTCACCTGAAAAATAACCCGTGAGATGAGCGGAAGCAGTCCCCTCCCTGGATCAGCTGCATCAACAGATAGATAAGTGATAATGACTTATGCTATGCTACCCATGCTGTCTTATGACAAGGCCCAGGCAATGGGGGAGACTCCCGAGAAGACAGAGGCTGCTTGTGTTTTGTCCTGATTTCTGTGACCGGCCACAAGGAAGAAAGACAGAAGCAGAAAGGCTGAACAAGTAGAGTTTATTGCTTCCGGGCAGCAGCTGAGATGGAGCTCCCTAGGGTGGGGTCCGCAGCTACTGCAAGTGTTGTAGGGGGAAGGGTCTCTTGTATAGGCTTTAGGTTCCTTTTTTTATTTTAATGGTGCTTAACACCTAACTGCAAGGACTGGTTCTGGCCGTTGGTATTGGTAGTGGTGCTTTGCACCTGAATGTAAGGTCTGGTTCCAGTATTACCCGCCTGGTAACACTCAACAGCTTGGTTCCCAAGAAGACAAACTAAGGGGAGTCTCCATGGCAATGATGCCGTTTTTTGCCGTTTTTTTGAGTTCAGGGTCCTTGGGGTTCACTCTGGGAAAGCTTTCTCCTGAGTGCCCCTCTCAGTGTCACATGGCAAGACTCTTCACGAGACAGAGACTCAATTATATTTAAAGAGGAAGGTTATTAGAAAGAGATAGGTGAGGAAAAGTCACTTGCATAGGTGCAAGTGGGCA